ATCATCATCAGGAGACTGGAGAGAATGCTGGGACTCTGGATCAGGGGTCTGAGATGTTTGGCTCCGAGTCTAAGCCTAGGAAGAAGAAACTGTGCATTTGGCAGGGGGAAATGCTCAGACAACAGGGAGAAGTGTACCAACAGCCTTCTCTGTAAACAAACAGCAACCTCAGAGCCAGGACCCCACAGAGCCTGCGAGATCAGGAGAGAAGCACTCCCTGTGCCTTTGCTTAGGAGGTCAGACAGATCCAAGTGCTTAGGAGGAAGGCAGTTCATGTTATAAGGCCGATGAACTAAGAAGGTTTAGGTTCAATTCTCAAATTCAGTGTGAGCTTCCCGTGTGACTCTTGAGTATGTTCCTCTGTACCTCAGTTTCTTTTTTATCAAACCATCCCCACCATCAAAGAAAAAGCTGTCACTGCATTTTTGGGCAGTATTTAGCACAAATTGGCACAATTTTAGGGACACTCCAGGAGAATGCTGGAGCTGCTGAAAGTGAACAAGAAATGCAAGGGAGTTTGCCTGTCATTTTTATGGTGAAGGGTTGTGAGGTTTGGGGGGTGAGGGTTGTTTGGTTTGGGTTTTGTTGGGGTTTTTTGTTTGTTTGGTTTGGTGGGTTTTTTTTCCCACAAAATCGTAAGAGGTTTGAAATATGTGAAATCTAAAAACCCAAATCAGACAGACAAAGTTAGCTTAAGAAGTTAAATGTAAGTATTTTTCATGATCTTGAACTCTGAGCCACCTGCAACTTGTATATTTTATTCATCCACACATGTCAATCTATTTTTAAATGCTTGGAACAGTGCAAATTCTCAAGCTGCATTGCTGCTCTTTTTTCTAGCAGAAACATTCAGCAAATTCTGGTTATTCCCATTCTTAACATATGTTTGTTTGCTCACGTGGCAGTTCATTTATCCAGCTTTTTACTTTGCACATACCATTGTTTCAACATACAGCTGTCTAAAAAATCAGTAACTCAGGCTATTATTTACACACTGAATAAGACTGAAAGCCTGTGTGAGAATCAAGTGAAGCAACCCTCTAAATGCTGAGCAACATCCTAGCTCAGCAACAGTCTTCTGGAGCAGTCCATATAGTAATGTATTACTAGGAAGTCAAAGGAAAGAGAAAGTTTCTGATGCTGCTTCTTTTTCATTTTCCTGTGTTGGAGGAGGTCAAAGCCCGAGTGCTAGCATTATTCAAACCATCCTTATCATAGAAAGCTCCAAAATAGACCGCTTGTTTTTCCATGTTCTCCTTTTGCAGGTTTCCCACACATTTCTAATACAAGTAGCTACCACAAGCCTGCCAGACTTCTCTATAATACAAAGCAATACCAACACAGTGCTTTCATGTCCTGTGGAGAGGACAGTTAGATGTGAGATGGAAGCTGCCTATTTTCGTGTACTTTATCAATAATGTGATTTCGGTTCTAGCTTTAGTGTTATGGTATTGTATTTTTATTTCAGAGAAATGCCTGGAATGCTGTTATTCTGTACCCTAGGGTAAATTATTTAGATGGAGTCAGGATATACATTTCAGCTGAGAGCTTTGCACAGGAAAGGCTTTTAGGTCCCTTACTCTTACAAGCATGCTGAATTCAGCAAGGAATGCTTTGGCAGGACAGTCTGAAGCACACTCAGCAATAACATTACTTAGCCAGAAAACAGCTTGTGAACAATAAGGCAATGCAACTGGGGCTGCTCCTCCTCTGAGACAGAGTGAGCATGAAGAACATTAATTCACAACCACAGAAAGGGAGATACAGCCAAGAAGGGAATGATGGCAGAGCAAGGAGCCAGGTGTCTCTCCTCTCCTCTTTCGTATCACCTGAACTTGGCCAGGACAAAATCTAGCCTTGTTTAAGTAGCAGCAATGCTTTCTGTCTTATTTGGATCTGCAGAAATTTACACCCCAGCCTGCCCAACCAACATGAACTCCAACTCTCTGCTAGACTGGTGCAAACAGCATCAGTTGCAAACAGCTGTTATTAATAACAGAAAAGGATGAACTGATGCTCACCTTGAACTCTGCCTGTACTTTATCATACTATGATGTGAGGAAACTAAGAAGATTACCAGCTGACAGATGCTGTAACTGTTGCTTTCAAATTAGTCTTTCCAATCTGCCATCAGAGCAGTACTTCCTACCCAGCCCTCTTGCAATGCAGAGCTGCTACACAACTCCATATCCAATTCTGTGCACAGCTGGAATAAGATGACTGAGGCATAAGGTCAGTGAGAGATGAAAGAGATGGACTGACAGGAAGGACAAACTACAAACTAACACAAGTTAGCTTCAAAGGAATTCCTTAACAATATTATCTTATTTTGGAATTCCTCCAGAAGGAATCTCTCCTCAGGATTTCAAGAGATGGCTGCGACCACACTTTCATAATTTTTTTCCTATTCTTTTACAGTCCTTTCAGGTGTATCAAGCAAGTTTTCTAACATAACCACAATATACAAAATCCTAATATGTATCTGCCTTTTTCACTTTGATTTCTGACTTGCATAATTGTGTGTTATATGTCTTTCTATCAACATTAATTAATAACTACACCAAGTAGTAAAAATAATACCAGCTTAATAGTTAATCTGCTACCTTCTGGGAGAATAGGTGGAATTCAGACCAAGGATACTTTTGAATTGAAGAAAAGAGCATGTTCTTTTTTATGTGAAAAGATCATTTAAAAGAACGTGCTTGGCAATACCTGGGAGTGTGGGACTATTAATAAGGAAAAAGAGATGAAAATGAACATACAAGAAAGAAGTGACTGTAGAAAGACATACAAATAAAGCAAATGGGAATAAAAAGAGAGACGTGACCAGATAAAAGGGAAATAGGCAAGGCAAGCAAATACGGTAAGAACTGGAGGAGACAACCTGTCAATGCACATGGGGAATGAGATCTACATGATTCAGAACAAGCTCACTGCAGTTTTTGGAAGTTCTTCCATTGACTTTTACAGTTTGGAGTGTGGCCCAGATGAGCAGAGAAACTGATCAGCAGAATTCAGGGGAAGCCCTCTTAACTTTGTCTGATATCTCATATACCAGTCTGTGTGCTAAGTTGTTCGTGAGATGCCAAATTCAGAGGCAGCCTAATAAATTTCATTTTTGCTATGCAGCTTTTGAAAACACAGTCTGCCTCAGCTAGGCTGCAGAGTCACTGCAAAGCCACCATTATAACCACCTGTCAGGGTGAAAGGGCTTCAAGTGAAAAAGTATGAGAACACTGTAATGAAGATAGGATGGCTATAGTCCTCCTTGCCCATATTACATGGAGATGGTTAATAAACTCCTAAGGTCTGTGACAAAAAAATTACAAGGTCTGATTTTCTTGTTTTGGAATGGAGACATCCTTACCTTGCAGATACATTTCTTCTCCTTCTGTGAACATTTGGTTGCATCTGCTGCATCGTGCACAGCTTGGATGATAATGCTTGTCACCTGCCTGAACAAAAATAAAAAAGGGGAAAGAGGGATCAATGCATTGCATCGCATTGCTTTGTGAGCACTCATTATTTGCTGACAGACCAGTGCTATTTTTCTTCTAGTTCACCTGTTATGACACAACATTGCCTTCACGATGTGACAATAGCTATGACAATGTAAGATCTGCCATACTGGTCTATCTAGTCCAGTATCCTGTCCTCAACAGAGGCCAGCAGTGACTACTTGGGGTAAAAGGCTGTAAGAAACAAGACCATGCAGAACAGCCTTTCCTCTTCACACCTTCCCATTTGAGTAATCAGTGGTTTAGAGTTTTCCTGGCTAGAGGCTATGTCACAATCTATCTATTCTCCATGATTTGCCCAAGACCTTTTTAAATCTCCATCTATCTAACAGTCCAAGGCAATGAATGTCACACTGCAGTTAGATATTTATCTAAACCTGCTGCTGCCTCATTTTGTAAAACAACATGTATTTTCTCAATTGCTCCATTGCTATGGATGAATTTAGACAATGAATGCTAGCTTTCAACCTGCCATTTCATTCCTTGGCCTTCTTCCTGATGCTGCTGATATGGGCATTAAAAGAGAGAGCTTTCTAGAGCCCCTTCTGGGAGCATTAACTTAATTCACAGATGCCCGACTTCAGAAGCTACACTAGCACAGACAGCCTGAGCTGAATTCAAACTTCTGATGTAAAGATATTAAATGCTCTAGATCCTGTTACCCAAATCCAAATCCAGTGAGCCATTCATTCTCTTAAATACATCAATACCCATAAAGAACAAAGCTGATCAGATTTCAGGCCTATAAGGACAGGAAAAATCAAGGCACAAATATTAATGTGATTTCTGCTCCTTAGGAGACCAAAGCAACCAATGTATTAACTCCTTGCATCAGAAACTAAGCATGCATGGTCTGCATCAGGCTTTTTTAGTTGAAAAATAATTAATCCTAGAGAACAACCCTTAATAGTAACAAGTAATGAATTCTAAAGTCTTTAAAATCATATCTGGCTTTCCAAACAACCTCAAATCCTTCTTCACAAAACATTCCCTATCCACTGAGATGTTATATGCACGAAATACCTGTTTACTCTGTAGCTGACTCGTAAAATGTCATCAAATCCATTTCCTACTTCATTATACTCAAGACTGTAACATTACTAAATTCAAACTTTCCTTATGTCTATTGAGATGAATAACAACATATTTTTGGTTCACATTTGACATCGATTATACAGGCTTAGCATTTAAAAGTATTTATATGAGATGACAAAGTGCTTTTCTGTACTTTCTGCCTCATGCTGTTTGCATGTATGTATTGTACATACAGAGGAACAGCACTTTTATCTGTGTTTAGTAAAAAAAAAAAAAAAATCCCAACTTTTGAGCATTCCTAAAGTTCTTCAGCAGAGTGGGGCCCACAGAGCTGCTTGTCACAAGTGATTTCAGACGTATTTGATTTAACGATGACGGCAAATCTGATGTCCTGGGAACTGCTCCCAGTTAATGAGATATAAAAAATTCCTAAGAAGGCTGAATCACTGCCAGAAAAGGTCTTCTTCAAACATGAAGACGGTAACTGAAAAATAGATTTGAAATAATAAATCAGGGATCTGTTCTGGGCTCTGCCTGTCTCATCCACCTAAAGAATATCTGCAGCATAACAGTGCTGCTGTTTAACAGAGCTCCAATTTTCAGTAGGCACATGGATTTTTCTGAAATAAAATTCATAGTTTCTCAAAAGGTGTTCAGTAGGGTTGCTAAGTAGCTGTGTAGTCTGAACTGGAAAGAGTACAGAGCCTGTTATATTATTATTTATTAACCTCTGAGATATCCCATCTGAGGTGGGACTGTGTCCTGTGAGATGCTTACCAAATTCCCAGACACAAAGAACTGAAACCTTTGTACATAAGAATTATCAGATGAAGCAGGTTTTATAAAGAAGTAATTCCCTATCAAGCACACTGATGCGCATCTAAGGCAATGTAGTTTTTAGAAGGGTAGTTAGGATTCAGCAGAGATGTATCTATTGTGAGAGGGCCATAGTATGTGGACAATGCATTCACATCTGTACAGTTTCAGCTTCTGTTCTTCCAGTCTGGCCTTTGAAGTGTGGTGGTTTTGGTTTCAGTTTTTTCGAGGTTTTTGTTTGCTTGGTTTTGTTTAGTTGTTTTTTTGTTTATGAAGAAGAAAGCCATATTGCACCTATGTTTTAATCAAATTCCATTGCCATAAGCAAAAGGTGTTTTGCTTTGGGTTTTGCATAGCTACTCTGGCAGTCCTACCCCTGGCATCCCTGAGTTTCCTGATCCTTGTTTTGCAGTTAATTCGTAACAACTTCAGTCAGTTACTTCTATTAGATAGATGCTAAAAGGGTCTGTATCTGGCCCATCTAATACTAATATTAACGAGTCTCTCACCTATCATCCAATAAACATTCCACTTATTTTTCTCCTCATCACAAAGTTTTTCTTGACAATCCTTTAGAAAAGGGTGTCTGGATTCAACTACTTACCTGTTAATTGCTATAAGCAGTTTACATGTTTTTAAAAGCCAGGCTATTTATAGGAGAAACAAATTCTGAATTCATCATAATATTATGTGTAGACCTGTGGCCTCTCTGAAGACTTTTTTTCCTGGAAAAACTTCTGGTATGCTACTGTCAAGAGGATATAGTTTAAACAATGTACACGTGTGTCTTCAAAACAGCCAAAGAGACAGATTTCAAGCTTATTGGATCTTTCCCCAAGGCTGAAACAACTGGCCAAATTTTAGCCTAGTGTGAGTGATGATAAATGAACACCACACCCCAGATAACACAAGCTTGTGAAGTGGAAGCACCAACACATCCTGCGCTGGAGGGGTTTTGGGGGAGTTGCATACCACAGCAGCTGCAGTTGTTGCTGAATGCTTCCAAACCAGTTTCATGAGTTTTCTGCCTCAATAATGTTTCCACAACTCAGGAGTGGCAGCCTTTCTTCAGTGGGTATCCACTGGAAAACAATCTGCATCTCAACTAACTCAAGGCCAGTCGTGCCACGCCTGACTTGCTGTAATCATCTGAGAAAACTGATTGCTAACAACCAGTCATTTACAATGTATTAAGAAAACCTTTTGGACCTACAAAGAGATGAAATATTCATACTTTACAGAGATCTGGTCTTGCTCTCAGGCTGCTAAACCCTCACTTAGTATGGCCAATGTGCAGCTTCCCGTAATCTCATGGTACTGTGCTCTGGACTGCAAGGCTTGAATCTCAATCCTGTTGGCCATAACAAGTAGCATTAATTCAGTGCACATTTGCCCTGAACGTTCTTCAGCTGAGGTGCAAGAGTGTTAAAGTCACTTCCTTCCTACTATGCCTACCTCTCCTTACCCCTTCTCGAGTCCACTTCACATCCAGAAATCCCTTAAAGTTAGCTTTGCTACACAAGGACTTCTCAAGTAGCATCTTGCACCCTGCTGTCAGCAACAAATCACTTTCTTGTTCAAAACACAGGTATGCAGCCACTAAGTTTTGACCTATCAGATTGTTCCTGATCCCTTCCGAGTTATTTCAGCTTTAGTTGACCTCTTCAGGACTATACAAATGATCAAGTGCAAAGTATGACCCATACCTTAGAGGACTGCCCTGAAACTTAAGTTTGAGTAAGCTGAATTCATTGCTGAAAATACCTTGGTTTTGCTTAGCTACAAGTTACAAACAAAATTATATTGAACATCATTACTCTTACTTTGCATACAAATTCTTAAATGGAATTGAATGAATTGACAGCAAAGTTTCTTGTCAAATGAAATATTAAGCCTACATGTTACTGTCACTGCTTATAAATTCTATGTTAAATCAACTGACTTGCATTTGCAGTAGAAGCAAAGAACACCAGTTATCAATTTATAACAATATATCTCTTCTGACTTTCCTATTTATCTCCTACCCACACTGACAAACCTAAAATAGGTTCTCAGATTAAATCCCATTTGAACACAGTAGACAGAAAAAATTAGATTAAAAAAAACAGTATATACTCATTTATCAAATACTTCCAGAACCTTAGAATTGCAGAAGGAAGGAACAGTGGCCACAAGTATAAGTGTCGTTATAAATGTAAACATACAGATGTTAAATTTGAGTAGCTTTCCATGGTTCTGCAACTCTCACTGATATGGTTGAGCACCAATATATGCGTTCTATTTATTTTCCATATATTACTAAATATATCTACTATATATATGTACATCATATGCATATTCATGTATAGAAGACAGGTTTTAACATTATTTTACATAGTATTAAGGTTTTATTTATTCTGGTCATTTCAAGACTTATACTGGAATCAAGTCTTTAGCAACACTGAGCTTCAGTTTCCCAGTCTACAAAGATGGTTAAATAACATTTTCATAAAATACTTTGAAGAAGCACTAACAAGGAAAACCATTACAGAAATGTATTCCTCATGACCAATCATGAGAATAAAACCACATAACCATGTCTCCTGTAGGGCTTATGAATGATGGTTGGAGGCTCAGTAGTCAGGATTCATGGATGATGGGCTACATAGGGGAGCTTCACGGGTATAAGCAGAGGACATATACCAAGTAACATTAGCCAAAAGTACAAGCTCTATTACGTTTTACAACAATAGCAAGACCTATAATAAAATTTATTAATGAGAGACCAAATTTTTCATAGATTACCTTTTCAGATTCAGCAGCTATCAATTTTCAGCCTTCTTCCAGCCTACTACTCTCTTAAGTAATGGAACATACAAATCCTGATTAAACCAGCCTGCAGTGCCATTTTAAAAGCCACTGTGTACTGTTTACAGAGGGCTTTGAAAGCTCCCTCTAATGGAGGGGTAATAACCCTGTACAATTGTCTGGAATGGGAAAGATCCCAGAACACAGCCATCGCATTACACACCGTGTGCATCAAGCTTAAAGAGACCTCTTGCAGTTTAAAAGGTGACCTAAAAGGCTGGGAGGTGGGGAGTTATTTG